TGATAAGACAAACTTTCGCTTTAGAAGAACTAGTGTTCATAGCTCTATTGGATAAATCACTGTCTATTCACTGGGTATAAGGCATGGATAAGAAGAACTCCCGTTATTACGAACAAATACCATCGGTCCCTTGGTGTTCGTCCTAAAGAGGTTTGACTGTATGTGCACTTCGAAATGTGTAGAGCACGAGATCTACCTACTGGTGCTTCACGATTCGACCACCAGCTCAAGGCATTGGTCAAAAGTGATCGGTATCGGCTCTATTGGGAGTATTCGGTCCCAACTGACCTGAAACTATCAGCAAACAGGCCCGATCTGCTCCTTGTTGATGACAAGGAGCGCATCGCCTACAATTTAGACATCAGCGTTCCTGGTGAGAACAACATCAATAAGAAAATGGCTGAAAAGCGCTCGAAATATTATGATTTGAAGCGGGAGATTTCGAGGATTTGGTCCCTCACCCAGGTTGACGTTAAAATACTAAGAACTATCCTTAACATGTAGATGCACCTCTGCTGCGTTTGCATGTTCAATAGCTAAGAGACTTGAATAACGACTGATAAAGACTGATATTTCCTTTGTTACTCCCTTCATTGGTTGATGTATTTTGCCTGTCGCTGCAAATTCTTTATAATTGTTTTGATGTTGGAGTTCGGATTGAGTTTCTTTCCTTTCTTCCTCTTCCTTCAACTATTTCTTGTCCCTTTGGTTTTTAGGTTTTATTTATATATTTATTTTTGTTTGTTGTTTCACTTTCTTTTTGCTGTCCCACCCATGGAAAGTTTTCCCGGTGGGTCTGGCTTATCGCCTTCGAAAGAAGTGAATAAAGGAGAGATAATAATAACTGGTTTGAGGGAAAGAGACAAACGGGAAAAGTCTGAAGAAAAAATTGACTGTCACCACCAGGACTCGAACCAGGGACCTTCGCTTGTAGCCAGCGATGCTCTAACCACTGAGCTATGGTGTAGTCGTCATCCCAGCAGAGACCGTTCAACGTTTTCTTCAGACTTCGTAACTCACACTTCCTGTGAATCCACACAGGCGGGTGGGACGCAGCCCTCACTGTACCCACATACTTCACGTACAAACTAGCACGCGGGGAGCCCCAAGTCATAAAATATTAACTGCATGGTTTGAGGGAAAGAGACAAACGGGAAAAGTCTGAAGAAAAAATTGACTGTCACCACCAGGACTCGAACCAGGGACCTTCGCTTGTAGTATAATAATAAAATAAAATCCACGAAAAATAACAAAGTACGCTCCCCTTTGCCAAGAGCTGCGGCGCATCTGGCATGTGGATGATGTCCGCGTTGTGCCGCGTTGTGCTGCGTTGTGCCCCTGGTTGTTGGGGCGCTTGGTGGACTGACTGGTGTGTCCCTGTCACACTTTGTGTTGGCATTGGCAGGCACCCTGCGCATTGAAAGGGCTCAGCAATGTGCTATCCTGGGCACGCTGAACATCGTCAAGTCGGTTCTGGGCATTCGGCATTAGGCTCCTCATGTTACGGGTAAACCGTTTAAACCTCCAATACTGCATTTGCTTTGACATCCATGAATGTGCAGTATGACGGTCCTCACAGCCTGATTTTTCTCTTGCTATTTGAGTATGTTCGGCATTCATCTCTTCCTATATTTCTACAGGTCTATTCCTGTACTGGTAGTCCATTTTTGTGATTACTCTTTTTGTATTCGAATATGTCCTGTCCTCCTCCATCTTTTTGTATTCGAGTATGTCCTGGCCTCCTCCATCGTTCTGCTTATTTCTGTCCGTCTCTCAGTTTCTGCGTCGGCTTTCAATATTTTTGCTTTGGTTTTTACAATCCTTTTTGCTTCGGTCTCCATTGCGTTGGCCATTTATCTATTTTTTTCTCTCATTACCCTTGGTCTCTCTTGGCCCGGTGATGGGGTTCTTACCTCATGTCATGACAACGTGAGTGAAATAAAGCCAACTCCATAATAGTGCTAACTTAGAAGTTGCGATTTCGGCGGTAATAGTCATGAAGTTTTTTTTCTTCGGCGAGTCGGCTACTATCATTTTCGTCTTGGGGTTTAGACAAGGGGAAGTAGCCATGTAGGAGCGTGAGCCCGCCTTTCGGCACCGGGCGTTGCAGCTCGCGCGACTCAACTCTGCTGAGTGAAGAGGACCCACACCTTGATCTGGTGAGCTGCGTCGTGGGGATTTTGCAGTCAGATGTACGACTGCGGAGCTCGAACCCGCGGGTCATGAAGTTGATTGTTCCAACTAGGAACACACACTTCTTGGAGAACTTGACACTTAACTGACTCACGACTACCATCCAGAGCACACGAGGAGCAGGTCGCACCTTCCACTCGGCAAACCTGCAAGAAAGCACCACTCCCTGCTCAATACACAGTGTTTTGGGGAATTCACCCCTCATAAATTTCATTAATAATAGTGCTAGTTTACTAAAACAAGCGTATCATGCTACTTATAATGCTAGCATTAGCCGCCAATGCCTATCGGTCAGTGTCGTGCAATGTTACCGCATGAGCTGATTGTTTAGTAACTGGTGGTGTTAGTGGTCATTAGAGCGTAACTTTTAGTTCCTCAGTCCCTTTACTTTAATAAGATTAGTTCTCACTAGTTTTCTCACAACACCCCTCAGGAAACTACGTTGCAAAGATGAAAACCTTTCAACTGTGTTTTTCACCGCGTTCGTATCCACTGGTTTTGAACCCAGTATCACCTTAGTATTTGAAGAGTATCACCTTAGTGCTAGCATATTATCAGTTTCATAGGTGTATATTCTCACTTTATTTCTCTTTATTAGTACTTTTTTTGAATGTTTTTCATTTGTACAACGTAACTTACTGAGGAGTGTTGTACGAAAACTAGTTCGAAGTATTCTCTGTTTTAACCATTTCTTCCATATCACTTTTGTTTCTCCTTCCTATTCTTCGCAGCGTTCACATCCACTCGTTGTGACCGCAATAAAGCCGTTGTGAATTGAGTGTTGAGCTCGTTCTGTTTACCACAATTAAAAAAACCTATTGTCGCCTCGCCGCATATTTACAAATATGTAAGAAAAGACGTTCTTCTAACACGCACGCTAAAACCAATACAATACCTACTGTACAAGTTCTCGAATTTAAACGAGGATAGTGAGCGTGCTGTGCATGTACAACCATAATAGATACATGTACATGTATGACTGTCTTGTTTTGTTGAAAACATGGTTTTGTTTAAAGCATGGTACAAGGTGGAGGACCACTGTGTTCGGAAACAGTAACCTTTTCAGAATTGACAGGTTCAAAATTTGTATGACTGAGATCATGGCTTACAAAAATTGAGAGTCCAGACTTAATGTTCTCTTCCCTAACACATCGGGGAGACTAAACACAATGGCCGGATATTAGAGAGGTTCCGCACTACGTAAAGTTGAGCAACTTTACGTTAGTGGGCGGGAAAAACCCGTGAATTCGCGAGTTTACACTCCACTTACGGAAAGTTGTCTACGGAGAGTACGTAGATAGGGCTCTGATAACGTAGCTGGTCCGTAAGTGGATTGGGGTACAAATTTATGACTCTCTCCCCAGATCGATCTGGTCGTACACTGCCGCGTTCGGAGTTGCCATGGGCAGCTACGTGATTTGAAAACTCCGTATGGCGAAACCCAGATGCGCATGCAGTTTACGTAAGACTTTCCGTAGATGGACTACGTTTTTTACTAACGTAATTACGTTATGCGGAACCTCTCTAATATACACAGTTTACTGTGATATCGAGACTACGTCGGGCCCTAGAGTCCTATTCTGACGAGACTTACAAATGTTATAATCCCAACACATGGGGTGGACTAGACAGGGCGAAGAAACGGCCGGCAATTTTAGCCGTTCGTTGTTCTTGGCCTCTTCGCCAACACACTGTGACAGTATGAACAAGGAACATAATGCTACTGGTCTGGCTACAACCAGGCCTGCCGCATGGCGTGCGAAGTACTGGAAAATCACAGTGTGACGGAACGGCCAATCTAACTGCGCATCGTTCTTGCCCTAGAGTGGAGAAAAAGAGCAGCGAGCGTATATACAACACGAAACACGAGATACATGAGGTATAAATTTACATGACTTTAAACAAATAAGAGTCGGGACTTACAAAATTAATGTTCTTATCCGCAACACATCGGGTAGACGACACAGGACGGCCGGATAATATACAAAGTTTACTGTGATGTGGAAACTGCGCCGGGCCCTAGATTCCTATTCTGACGAGATTTACAAATGTTCTTATCCCAACACATGGAGTGGACTAGACAAGGCGACGAAACGGCCGGCCATTATAGCCGTTCGTCGTTCTTGGCCTCTTCGCCAACATACTGTGACAGTATGAACAACGAAAATAATGCTACTTCTTTTCCGCAACACATCGGGTAGACGACACAGAACGGCCGGATGGAACACACAGTTTACTGTGATATCGAGACTACGCCGGGGCCTAGAGTCTATTCTGACGAGACTTACAAATGTTCTAATTCCAATGCATAGGGTTTACTAGACAGGGCGACGAAACGGCCGGCCATTATAACCGTTCGTCGTTCTTGGCCTCTTGGCAAACACACTGTGAAAGTATGAACAACGTAAATAATGCTACTGTGCAGGCTACAACCAGGCCCGCCGGATGGCTGGCGAAGTAGGAGGGTTTGAGTAATACAGCACGATGTACCGTAGTTGCACCCTGTCCGACCATAGCGCGCCCCTTTGCCTCAGCTTGGAGCGGGATCGGATGCCCTGATATCCCCAGCCGACGAGGTTATTGTTTTCGAGCGGCCGGTGAACCGGCGACTCCATGCCTCGTCGCGCGGTGGTGGCACATTCTTCTGCACGATCTTCCCGATTCGTGAGGTAGTACGGTTGCGTTCCCGTCCCTTGGACTTACCTAAGTAATTATCAACAGCTATGCTGCTTGCATTGCATGCAGTCTAGACAGTGACAGTAACCTTTTCAGGATTGACATTTGAAAATTATTTTTATTAATTAACACCAGACTTTACAAATGTTCTCATCCCCAACACATGGGGTGGACTAGACAGGGCGACGAAACGGCCGGCCATTCTAGCCGCTCGTCATTGTGCAGTGAAATGGTGGTGGTGAAGCATAAAAAACATACATGTACATAATATTATATAGTGATGCAACATACATATAGTGATGTAAAATACATGTAAATAGTGATGTAAAGAATGAATGCATCCATACATACAGTGTGTGCACATACATATACATACATCTCTAAGCAGCCCCGGGTGCAGGACACAGCTCCCACAGCACGATATATCTTATCCGCAGCCTGTCGGACCGTAACACGCCCGCATGCCGCTGCTTGGAGCGGGACAGGATGTCTTGAAATCCCCAGCCGTGATTGGTGTCGCTCGGCTGGCCGGTACATGGGCGACTCCAAGCCTCGTCCTCGTCGCGCGGTGGTGGCACTGTCATCTGCACGACCACACGATTCTTCGTGCTGTGCAGACACTGGAAAATCACAGTGTGACGGAATGGCCAATCTAACAGCTCATCGTTCTTGCCCTAGAGACGAGAAAAACACGAAACACGAGATACACGAGGTATAAATTTAGGCGTTCACCGGTGCCAAAATAGTACTTGTACCACGCGACCTCCTGAGCATGTCCGCTAGTGATCGTATTCACCACGGCTGTCTGAACAAGGAGAGATACAGTTTTGTAGCAAGGCTACATACTACTTCTTAGATAGTATTGTGGCAAGGAAACAGTAGCACATTAAACAATTCTCTAAACACAGGGATAATTACTCTCAACACAGGGTTAACTTGCATTGTTCCTAAATGCAGCAACTACTGGTCCAGATCAACGTTTTAGAGTTTGTATGCAGTGATAGAACCACGAGCCAACCTGAATCTTCCGCACAAAGGCAGAATTGCAACATGCCTACGTCTTTCAGAGAGGCCCGCCCCGCATGTAGTTTTTCACTTCTGGCTACATGTGACATCATGGTTTCAAGCCCTAAACAAAGAACTTGAGCAATGTTAAGGGGACGTTTTCTGGTCTCCTACCTTAACTAGGGAATAATACAAGCCAAGTTTGCGTTGATTTGGCACTATCTTCATGCGCAGCCGATACCCACTGTCGCATGGACCTGCACGCAGAGGGATATACACAGACAATGTACATACAGGTTTTGAAAATACTCACCACACACCACCATATACCAAGTCTACACCCGTCACAAGAGAGGCACGCAAATCTGGTAATGCAATCATGGATGTGCCCACACGATAGCAGACGTGAGTGAAACAGATCAAGACAGTAACTTATGCGCACCCCATACTAGCTGAGGTTGGTCACACACGTACAACACACGCACACACGCACATGGACACTGTGATCATCATTGTTAAAGCTATGAACGAGAATTGGGAGTAAAGCAGTAATATTACAAGAAGAGCCCTCAGACATCAACAAGTAAACATATTCAGGGTAAACATTGACAGCGGCAGCAACACAACTAACTCCAGACAACATACCGCTGTAGAAGGCTTCGCCATAAAATGTATGGCCACCGCGAAGACGATCGGCGATTTGGCCAAACACCTCTGTGTGAACGGTTTGGCGATGTTCCGCAGGGCGTGTGGCAACCTACACCACAGCGAACAGCAGAGACAAGAATATCTTTAGTACAAGCTGCACAAAAATCCCAATCACACGCACATGTAGCAGCCATGTTAGAAGAAAAGGTTCACACATGTGTAAAAAGGTTTCTGAAAGTGTGCACTGACCTGCCACAAGGTACTGGAAAGCATATCCATGCTTCGTGCCATCAACACGTTATGCTGATCACTCTGCTGCCGACAATGCTGTTCCATTTCATCTGGCATACACTGAAGACAAGATGGACACGCATAGAGAACATAATGCAATGCAGACATACGGTCATACGGTCGGGCATTTAAACATACATTGACGAGTGCACGCATTCACGATGACTGTGTGACCCATAGTCAAACAGCAAAAGATGCAAGTCTGTGTTAACCTAATGTAGTGTCAAACCAAAACACAGTGTTCCACCACTGGACAATACCTGAAAGCAATAGACAACTAATCGACAGAATTAATGAGTTGATCAAATCGCACTTAGACTGATATAGTAACATGTAGGTTGTCTACAACTGGTCAGAGACTGTATGCCCAGTGGTTGTCTACTGTTGTGGCACTATCTTTCACACACTTGAATCTTTTCTGCATTATTTCTTTGTGTATGGCTCACACATTCATCATTGTAGCTTCTAGCTATTCTTCTTGTTCTTGTTCTTGCTCTCCTCGGCTTTGACCGTCTACCACCTGAAGAGAAGCCACCAAAGTTCACTCTCGAAAAAGGCAGGCACCTGTACATGTGTAAACTATTCCGTATGGGCTACCTACTATAGAGATCTATCGATTCGCACCTGCTGGAGGAACCTGAAGTGTGTGCCCCTGCTACGGGTTATGGTAATATTCTGGGTAAGATATCAAACCGCCCCTCCCCCCTCTTCCTGAACGTTGAAAATCGTAGGATTGATGGTGGACTATGTTACGCAAAGCATTTTTTAAACTTACTTCGTAGTCGCACCCAGTTCCGGCATACTGGAACGGGCAGTTGACGATCACTTTAGGACAGACCTTGGTGTGTGACTGCAGAGGTTATGAACATATTTAGATACACATACATGTTAACATACACAAACAACCTGACTCAAACACATAAACACACGGCGTAGGAGAGAGACAGAGAGTGAGCGAGTCGAGAGAAATGAGAGAGAAGAGCGAGAAGGAAAGACATAAGCACCTTGACAGTGACTGTACTTACATCATACGAATCTAAGGTGCCTGTCCACGTGCAGCCGCGCTCCCTCTTCTCACAGAACACTTCAAATCTGCCAACAATTCGCTTCATGGCGCGATTGGGTACTAACTGCAAATATTGCGGTGACGCGCAGAAAATACCATAGATAAAAACTTTAGAATGTATGGAAACAAGGCCAGCATACATGTACATGCATCGACAAGATTAATGTTCGGACTTGTATATGTGTGCATTCAACTGCATAATTGGATATAAAATAACTTACCGCTCCTGGAGCCTGCAACGATACTGGCGTTCTGTCTAGCGGGCATATTTCGCTCCTCCTGTGAACATAAAGCGGCGGGAAAATACACAGAGAACACCAACACACACACACACACACACCACACACCACACACAAATAATTAGCTCATACAATAAACAGTCCGTACTTGGAAATATTATCATCATAACACGCCCGTGTCTTTGTGAAAAGCCAGGGTAGACAGTTCTAGCCCCCAACCGTTATACATATGATATATGTCCATGAGGTAGGAATGACGATTACAGTAGTAGTGCTTCAGACCCATGAGGTACCATGGTAGGTAGGGTTTGCTGCCCTTTTGTATGTGCACAACAATCAAGGACAACAGGATCAAGGAGAACAAGGTCGAATAACTTCTACCTGTACATTGAAACTAAAACAGTTATGTTAAAACATGCTAGTGTATCTTTCTAGATATTCCGTGGACGGACTATTTGCGATAATTGTAGCAAACTTGCAGTGTGAACGACATGCAAGCTCAGCGATCGGCTAAAAGATTACTTTCTCAGTGATGACAAGTCAATCATATATCTTGAACACATCGTCATACAGACAGTTTTAGTTCAGATATGTGACTTACTCCAGTGCTTCCACGATGCATTGATGGCAGAAAAGGTGTCCACACGCAACCAAGAGCATGGGGTTGCGCAAGACCATTTGGCAGATCGAGCATAGGAAATGTTGGTCTACTGGCGTCGTGAATACATTCTCATCAAAGCCACCCATCGCTTGGGGGAACGCGCTGGTGTAGTCCGACATGCTGATGTAGTCGGACAACATTGCTGCTGCTGCTGCTGCTTCCATGGCGAGTGCTGCTGGTCCTGCGGGTGCTGATGGTGCTGGTGCTGCTGCTGCTACTACGGGTGCTGCTGCTCCTAATGTTGTTGCTGCTGCTGCTACTCGTAGTACTGCTGCTGGCGCTGTAGCTTCCACCTTACACTGCTTAGGTTGCGGGCGACTGGCATCCAGGCAATGACGTGCTAATTATACTGGTGTATACATGTTGTAAATGTTCCGGTATACCGGTAATCCTTCTACGGAGACTTGTATTTGTTCAAGTATTCCACTCTACATCATGGTTAACATGCACTGGATGTGTACATAAATATGTGAAGCAATCGTGGAAATCTAGTACAGTGCGTATCGGTTATAGTGTGGTTGTGTAAAAGAATATACGTGTACATTGTACTGCCTACAAGAAGGAACTCTCATATTCTCAAAATTTTAACGTGGGTTGCAAGTGAACATTCATTTTATTCTTACGAGAACTTCTAAATGTAAAATAGAAGAAGTTATGACATGAGAACGAGTTTTGAGTGATTCTTCTTCTATTATACATTAAATAAAAAATAGTTGAAATCACATGGAAACGAGTTATGAAGCAAATTATATATGTATCTATTAATGCACGGTTAAAGAGGTCAATATATGAAATATGGAACGAGTAAAAGACCAAGGTCCGCCGAGGTCTACATTGTATATTTCATACATTGACCGATTATGAGGGCAATATTAGATTTATCACGACATGGCATGCCTAACCTGTTTTAGCTGTGTTTATAGGAAGAAAGGAATACTATTGTAATAGTATATTATAGTATGTACATATGCCGTTTAAACAAACGGCGAGGAGACAACAATTTGATGACCGCAATCAGTAATACAAGCTGGATCGACATTTGTGTACACTGTATTCATGTATTGTAAAACTGTGGAGACAATGTGCAATAAAACGATGAAAAATGTGAAGAAATTGTGTAGAGAAAGAAAGGAAACATTGTCTCCACAGTTTTACAATACATGAATACAGTGTACACAAATGTCGATCCAGCTTGTATTACTGATTGCGGTTATATGCTGTTTACATTGGACTTTACTTCTCTATAAACAGAAGTTTTCAGTTGTCACTTGTAGTATGTTCCCCAAGTTTTTTGACTGAGATTCTGACAGTTTGGGTTCAAATCCCCACATTTGGCTTCAGATTTTTCTTCTTTCAGTTGGGATTTTTTCTAAATTGAGGAAAAAGTTCATGTCCTCGGCCTAATTGGTCAATAATAAGTGGTCAATATATTAAAGCGGTCAATATGATAATAAATGTAAATTGCAATAAATCCTGAGGCTACTACATTTAAAGAGTCGGCGTGGAGAAAGCAATTTTATTAGTGCAATTAGGAGTATAATCGATGCAGACATGGCCAAACAACAACGAGTTCATGGAATTTTTAAGGATTTTTATGTTATTCAAAATCGATTTTCGTGTTCCGCTCATCAGTGAATAGTATCGGAACTGAGGGTACTGTGTACAGAAATAGAACATTTTATAACAGCATAATTAATTAAAAGTGTGAACAACAAAGGAAGTGCTACAGCATTACATAATAGGTGTCAAACATAGTGCTAACGTATATAACTGAGTGCAGCCACAAAGCAAGAGGTGATACAGTGCAACATGACACACCATTTACATCTGATAACCAGCTACGAGAACAACTTTAGCGCGACTACATGCTTCTTTTGTTTACAAAGAACAGGATTATGCACACGAATACATACAGCTTCCAGAACCTTCAACTGCTTAACATAACTTGCACGGCACAAAACAGAAAAGTGAGAATCATCGTACACACTACGACAATCTGGACGTGATAACAAGTGACAAAATACAGCTGACTTTTTGCTCACGTCGCTCTCTTCCGTCTCATCCCGCTCCCTTCCTTCGATCTCCTCCGCCTTATCCTCGTCCTCCGTCTCATCTTCATCATCATCATCGTCCTCATCACCACCATCATCATCATCAGTCACTTCCTCATCATCCGTTTGATGCTCAGTCTCACTGCACTCCTTATCAGCCTCCAACATGGCTCCATCATCTCCACCAGCATCACAAGTCGTTTGACCGCTGCTCCGCGTCACCGTTGCTGGGTTCTCTGCTACTGCACACCCATTTCCACTGTCCATTTTGCGTGGGCCAAGTCCATTCCGTGCATAAATTTCAAGTGAATAGTTTGCTGTGCTTCTTCTGGGTCTATGGGTGAGGATATTGGTTTCATTTTGGTTTGTCGATGATCTCCCTCTCTGTCCAGACACAGTCGGCACCGTGGATCCCAGCACCGGGGGGACCACCGTCTCGGTAGTCACCAAAGGTAAAGGGGGTGGCTCAGGCGGAGGCAAGGGCAACTGCCGAGGTGAAGGTTCAGTGTCTCTCGGTGGCCCCTCCTCCATTCCAGGACGATGATGTTGTGCTAGAGTAGGCTCCGCTGCCGTTTGCAGTGGGTCGAGAAGTGGTGGCCAGGTCAATGATGGCAAACCCACCCCAGCCCCAGCCACCCACGGCACCCCAGGTGGTGGGGCCGGTGGTGGCACGGGAACAGCCGGCGCTGTCGGCACAGCGTGTTTGTCTACTGAGCTAACTGGGTTCTTACACGGCCTACCACGCTTTGGCCGCTTTGCTCTGGCTGCTGGTGGTAATAAGTGCAACGGCACATGTTGTCTGATACGTGCGTTCAGGTGTTGAAGAGTCCTACCAACGTACCGGGCAGCACAATTCCGGCACTCAAAGAGATAAACCAAATGGCTTGAAAGCTGGGGAGGTAGGACATCCTTCCTCACCATGAACGCACGTACCGTGGTGAACACGGGGATGAAGTGGGCAGCAAAGTATGTTTTATTGACTAGGGTCTTGATAGCTCTGGACATGCTGACAGACGCGTTGCCTTTCCAAGGCAGGCATAAGTAGATAGGACACTTTCGAGGACCTGTGAATGTATCTTTGTTATTAGATTCTTGCTTCAGTATTTTGTTCAATAAGTCATGTGGGTATCCATTCTTAAGGAAAATTGATCTGAGAAATTCCAGCTCGTCGTTGAGCTTCGTTTCAGAGCAGAGCCGCTTTGCTCTCCCCACCAGGTTACGTACCAGGTTCACCTTGTATTGATGTGAGCAATATGAATCATAGACGATGTACTGCCCAGTGAAAGTGGGCTTTCGGTAGACTGATGTTACGACACTGTTATTAGATTTTTCTACCTGCCCATCCAGAAAGGCTAGTTTGTTGTCATGCTCATGCTCACATGTGTATCTAAGCGCTGGGTGTAGGTTGTTTAGATGATGAAAGAATGTGTCACATTGCTCAACGGAATCAAAATATGTAAAAGAATCATCGACGAAACGAACGTATACCTTAGGCCACATCGACTCATTGATCAAGGATTCACAGTATCCAACGAATATATTTGCCAAAACGGGTCCAAGGGGGGACCCCATGGCCACACCGTCCACCTGCCGATACATTATGTCGTTGAACGAGAACTCTACGCCAGTAGTGACCAAGGACATTAACTTACGGAAGGCTGTCTCCGACAACCAAGGAGTATCTACCGAATCATTTCGATACAGTACATCAGCACAAATATCGATTGTCTCATCCAATGGTACGTTCGTGAACAATGATACTACGTCAAATGAACACATATGAGCACTAGCGGGAACCTGATGAGAGCGCAAGATATCTACAAACTGGAAACTGTCTTTCACTGTGCGCGTACAGTAATAACTTTGTACGACCCCGAGAATAACACAGAGCCACTTAGAAATGCTGTACTGTGGAGATGAAACCATTGATAGTATCGGTCGCAAAGGACAATTGGTTTTATGTATTTTTGGCAAGCCATAAAGTCGTGGACGGACGGAACCCATTGGCTTGATTTTAAGAAACTCGCCATTGGTAATTTCCTTTTCGGCTTTTAGTCGCTTGAGATACGTAACTAGGTTCTTCTCTACTTTTACGGTGTTGTCATGAGTCGCGACTGGGCCTAATTTTGAGAACTTCGAGGTATCATCAAGGATGACTGCCATTTTAGAAAGGTATTCCTCTCTAGTGAGGATGACTGTGGCCCGTCCTTTGTCAGGTCGGGTGATAATGATCGCATTGTTTTTAATGAGTTCCTGGCGAGTTTTAAGATGTTCACGAGATAAGGAGAATGTGCTGCGATCAGGAGGCTTCTCGGCATGCTCCTCCGCTATTGCCCTAACACTGGCAGTGCATACGGCTTGTTGGGCATTAGATACTGGCGTAAGGTTGATGAGTTTTTTGTGAAATAATTCAAATTCTGTTAGGATGACCTCTTTCTTGTTGCTGCTTGGAGGAATACCGAAGTCCGTGCCTCGGCAAAGTAGTTCCTTTTGGACGGTAGTAAGCTGGATGTTAGCGCGGTTAATAATTGTATCCGTATTCATGTGGAGCGAACCAAATCGCTTTACGCGTAACCACTTGTAATTCTTCTCATACTTTGCAATCAACTTGACTTGTTGTTTATTGTCATTTGCAGCAATTAGGGAACTAAATCGAAGGTAGTCATGGACTGAAAGGAACGCGCGAGCAGCACGATACAATCCTCTAAACTCAGACTGTACAGTACGAAGTGTGTCCGAGGACCGGGCTATATCCTCTTTCAGAAACACTCTTTCTATCTCTAGTGCATGATATGCCCGGGCCTTGTGCACTCGGTTCTGGATGGAGCTCGGGCACACGCCATTATCGCGACAACGCTGAAGAAACGAGATATTTAGTGCAATACTACGACAAACATGGCGTTTCCGCCAGGCTTTGTTCAGAACAACTATCTGTTCACTATTGTATCTCCGCTTAAGGTATTTAAAGAGTCGGCGTGGAGAAAGCAATTTTATTAGTGCAATTAGGAGTATAATCGATGCAGACATGGCCAAACAACAACGAGTTCATGGAATTTTTAAGGATTTTTATGTTATTCAAAATCGATTTTCGTGTTCCGCTCATCAGTGAATAGTATCGGAACTGAGGGTACTGTGTACAGAAATAGAACATTTTATAACAGCATAATTAATTAAAAGTGTGAACAACAAAGGAAGTGCTACAGCATTACATAATAGGTGTCAAACATAGTGCTAACGTATATAACTGAGTGCAGCCACAAAGCAAGAGGTGATACAGTGCAACATGACACACCATTTACATCTGATAACC